AGATTTTAGGTTTATGGTATCAGAGTTTATATGACCAAATAGTCTATTCTTTTATCTTTTTCACCCTCTTTTTAATTAATTAAATTTCAGGTTCCTTGACAATTTTTTTTTTTTTTTTCTAAACAGCTTAATTAACATGACTTAAGATTCCAATAGAAAGGTCATTGTTATAATCTATATCCTTGGTGTAAGTCAAATTGTACTCTATCAGTGCCCTAAAGTGAAAAGTGCCAAAATTTGGAATCTACCAGTTTTAACCCTGGAAGGACAGCCTCCTGTGTCCATGTAATTAGGGCACCACCTCTGCTACACTTCCACTTCTGTTCATTTGCTTGGCAAATACACCATATCCATCAATCACAACCTTTAAGGGAAGGAAAACTCTTGAATATATATGGCCAATAGGCCAATTAATTTCTCATGGTCCTTATTTTGAGGTTAGCAGCCCAGTTTGGGATTTGTCATTTCCGTGCTGCTTGTTGATGTGATGAGGATTGCCTCTTCACGCATTGTAGCTTTGTATTCACGGTTTTCTTTTTCAATGGCTAGAAAAGGGAAAATTATTCTCTCTCTCTCTCTGTCTTTAATTAAATTCCAATTTCCAACCACTGCTATAGCATTAGTCATAAGGTTTATTTGAAATATTCGACAAATGAAAGCTTTCCTTTTCTAATTAAGTTTGATAATTGGTTTGGATTAGCCACAATTTCATCTCTTCGCATTAGCTAGTGAAATAAGATAGCTATTTATTTAGGCACCGTTTGGTGTGTTTTCTTGTGCAGTCTGTTCCATTTATGGTAGATCTAGCTACCAATAGCTGATGCACCTAAAAGATGCAAGAAATCCAAATCAGATATTTTTTTTTGGTAAGTTTTAAATAAAGCTTTTGCATTTTTTTTTTCTATTCAACTTTGCACGAAAAGAAATGCCTCAACTAAATGAATTTTCGACTGTTCAGATCTTAATGCAAAACTTCGAATGTGTTTTTTGACTGTCAAAACTACTATAAGATAAAAATTGCCAAATGCCCCACAGAACCGCAGATGACGTTTTTGTGAGCCTGTACCCACTACCTAGACTCTACACTAAATACATATGGGGATTGGGGAGGGGAAGTGAGCCTGTACCATATGCTACACATTTTAGTTTCCTCTTATTAATCTACTCGATCAAAGAATATATCGTCGGTGTCACTTGAGTCTGAAGTCAAAAGGGTCCCACATGTTTCACTTGCCGTGTATATGCAAACTAAGTAAATAATCCTATGTGAGGTTTTGTTTGGATAATAAGCTTTTGCTTTTGATTTTGATGCTTTGGGCTGTGAAAAACAAGATTGATCAAAAAAAGTGTTTGGGTGTTCGGAGAAAGTTGACTTTAAAAACATTATAGTGTAAAGCAAAAACACTTTTGAGCCCCAAAGCAAAAATTGGGTCTTCAAAAAAATAAATCCTAAAACATATCCAAACACAATCTAATTAATCCACTAAAAAGACAAAACAATAAGTAAAGCAATTCAGCCACTTGGACATGTTATCAGACGGCCCCTTAAAGATCTTAAAGGGAATTAATTGATAGCATAGATGTCGAGGGGATTAAGAGAAAGATGGAAAGAAATAGCATAACACTTGTGATTGGATTAATTACTTAATTAGTGGTATGAAAAGATTTGGAGATCAACAAAAAGGTGGTGGAGGTCTTTTTCTCTCTTTCTCTCTCTCTCTCTATATATATAAGTAATTAGGCATAAAAGGAGGGATGATTCAGGTACAAGCACTCGCATAGATAAACTGAAAATTAAGAAATAGAAATGTAGTTTGTAGTTCTGCATCGTAAAATAAACGGGAAACCGACATTGCATATGATATCCTAACACTTTATTTAGCTTTTCACATGGAAAGAGGAGAAAGTCTGATAATACACGCTCCACATTGCCACTTCATCTTACGTTTTAAAAAGAGGAAAGAATTTTTTTTTTTTTTTTTGGAGTAGAAAAAAGAGAAAAGAAAATTTAGTGAGACCCACCACCCAAAGCAAAATTTTGGCGTTACAACATATAAAAACAACGGAAGAAAATGGAAAAAATAAACTAATGAATCGACGAATGGAGGACAACAATGCCTGGTTTTCTGAATGGCTACTTGGATTCCAGATGATGTTACAGACTTCTAATACTGTAAATTAATTCCTAGAGGCTAGAGGGGTGTGTGTGTGTGTGTGTTAGGTGTTATAGGAGAGCATGGACCATAGGATAGTTCGACGCTTCGGTTGCGAGATCCGATTGATGAATGAGATAAGTAATGTGAGACTTTCTGAGGGTCAAGTTTGACTTGCTGTGGGACGTTGTGGGGGAACTGATTTGCTCTCCAGATATATACTCGGGTTTTCACCTATTGTCTATTGATTTGCGCCATTGTTATCACAATAACAAAGTTGTGATAGTAATTAAGAGTGTTGATGAAATTGATCTCCAAATATTGTCGTACGTACAGGCTCTGGTTTTCCTTGTTCAAGGCTTAAACACAGTTAATGGCCCTAGCCCCTACCCCCCCCCTAGATACAGTGGAACGAGAGAACATAGGATACATTGCTGTAGAAGTGTAGCTAGGCAACCCCATATAGGTTTTGTTGACTGACCCATATGGGATATGGCTGGGACTGTGATAGGCTTTGTTGAGTTGATCTGTACAAGAAGGCCACAAGTCGAGTGCAGCACTTTCTTTTCTTCTCTTACTATTAAGCTACCTACTGTCGATCGGGGATCGATCCCCGCCCTTTGGTAAAAGTATATATGTGCAGAGAACACACAGTAATTCATTTCTTATCTGATCAGTGTCCGACCCAGGCCCAGACGAAGACCCACGTCAGGAGAGGAGTGAGGAGAAGGAATGGAGTTGGAGCGCATTGGGAAGAGACGAATGACCCAGCGGTGTGACATTCGCCACTGGACGAGGGGGGATTCAGGGATTCAGTATCGTCTCGTGGTTCACCTGTCTTGTGGAAACGAAACGTCCAATCCATCTTTAAAAGGGAAGGACGGTCGTGGGTCCCATTAAAGAGGGGAGCGCGGGAGTCCCGGGAGTATTAAGAGTGATGGTCGATGGGTCCCCTTCCTCCCTCTGTGCAAGAGAGAAGAGACTACTGATGAGAGACCTTGAGAAAGAGTGTGGAGTGGAGGCAGCTGCACAGTCTCAGTCACATACACTCTGCCTCTCTTTCATTGTCAATTTGGGGGATGGTGGTCTCATCTGGTCGACGCCGCCAGCTCCTCCTCGTCCAGATCCCAGAGAGGACCGGCCCACACCCACACACCTCTGCTCTCTCTCTCTCTCCATCTCTCTCCACGTGATGATACACCTGCAACTGGCTCGAAAATACCTACAAAACAGAACCCTTTCTACTGTTTACCGTTTGAAAAGATATTCGTACACCTCTGCCCATGTCTCTCCCTCACTCTTTCATTATGAATTGGAGTCGGAGGTAGCCTGGCCCTTTAGTTTGTCACGTTGATTCATTTGACGGTTTTATTTATTTTTATTTTAAGGAGATTAGTGGGACGCGCAGTGAAGTCAAGTTCCTACAGTAATCTGTCTGATGGGTATATGCAGTAATCAACTATGCATGCATGCCAGATTATATGCAGTAATCATGGTTATTGGAATATGTACTCCCGCCCTGCCTCTCCTCAAAATCTTTTAAAGATGCATTCAATGCCACCCAGAAAACAGTTAAAAAGAGAAAGTAAAACTCTAACCAGTATGAGTACAACAAAACTCTTTATAGATCAAACTTTAATCGAGTAATAACCTACCTCCAAAATGTTGTTTAAGCAACGTACTCGTCGGTTGCAGGGGAAAGACGATGGCATTCCTGATGCTTCCTCAGTCCTCTCATTGTTTGACTGATTACTTTACTAATTTATGGCTTTCCACGACGGAAAGTTAACGAGGAAACCGGAATTACTCGAAAGTACTGTTGAAATATTAAAGCTGTTTCCCGGCAGCAAATTCATTTTCAACTACGGTGGATTTACACAACAGTGATCACCCACTGCCAAAGGCGTTGGTCTACGTCATCGGCGGTGGCTGTGGTTTTCCAAACTACCAGCTGTTAAATATGGTAGGTGGTGAGTAATTGGATTGGGGGAGCTGTTGATCATTCGTGTCCATCTCTCTCTCTCTCTCTCTCTCTCTCTCTATATATATATATCTATGTAATACTGTTTCTTTACGTGTATTTAACTATTTATTTATCTCACTCTCACACATGATACAAGTGGAGACTATATATCCCAGTTTTTTTTTCTCAAGTTTCTACCTTTGTTTGGTAATTTGGATTCTGAAACGCATCATTGGAAAGTTAGATCGATCGTAGTGGGACCTCACCCAAAAAGGAAGTTTTAATATAAGAGAAATAATGGGGCTCTCGGAACAAATTGATTTCGGGAAGTGATTGGAGCACATTCATTTTTTTCTCAGAATTAAGAACAAACACAATCCCCATATATCCATATCTTGACTTCTGACGTCATTCTGAAATCTGAACGATGGTGTTTGATTTTTCTATTTCATGCATCCTTGTAAAATATATTTATATACTGAATTGGTTGTTTAAACGTCTAATGGAATGTAGCAACAGATCAGAAGGCTGCTCCTGGATTGGGTCCCGTTTGTTTTGCATGAATAGTAGTACGTCGTATAATTTATAAATCCCGGCCGTTTAATTTGCTATCTACACCATGAGAGGAATAGTACTTACAGAAATAAATAAATACTGGGGGTGGGGAAGCTTTTTGGACTTTGGCCGAATCGCTGGAACCCTTTTTTATCACCTACAGAAGCATACTATATACATAATGCCTAAAAGAGCATTTCATAACAATAATTAGTACGATGGAGTGGGAAATTTGGGAAAAGAAAGTGAAAATTAAAGGCGTGAGGCGAGAGGCGTCGTTGAAAGAGATGGAGGAAAGAAATATATATTTATATAATCTATGTCTACATATATAAAAATCTCCCATCGCCTCATCAACCATACCCTTTATTATTGGTCCTGTGGTTGTTTGCATTTGTATTCCAAAAAAAAGAAAAGAAATTAAAACAGAAGGGAAAAAGAACTTCCTCCTAAGTTCTAAGAACGTCTTGTCACCCAACCAGAGAGCAGAGACGGTGCCGTTGCCCGTCGCCGGCCGACCTAAGGAGGCGCATCTTCACTTATGAGGTCCATCATGTGACGTACCACATGGTATGCGTTACCACCGCTACTATGCTGAGCCTCCGGTGCAACGCCACCCATGACCATGAGAGCCAACTTAAGATGAGAGAGGATATTTCACCTCCACTGTTAATTCCTCTCAGAAGGGAAGAAATTCAAGGTTCTGGATCCGTAATGCTGAGGAAAACCCTTCGATTCGAGCTGAAAATGGATACCCACATGCCATTGCCATTGTTTCGAGGCTTTGGACTGTGTTTTTTAGTAGTAGAACACTAGTAGTCCCCAAGTTTCCTACAATCTTTTCTTTTCTTTGTTTCTTCCTCTCTCTCTCTCTCTCTCTCTCTCTCTCTCTCTCTCTCTCTCTCTCTCTCTCTCTCTTTATCACTTTCTGTTTAGGGATTGGGACCTTTGGGTTTTTAGTTTTCTTCGACTAAGTTTCTTAGAAAATGGAGTACAATCAACTGAGCGAGAACAACAGTACAAGAGGGAGTTTCATGTATACTACACCTGTTCTTGCACCCAATTCTTCCATATATGGAAGAACCAGTAGTAACTCTAATGTGACCCATCAGCAGACCCAACTTCCAGTCAACACCTTTCATCTTCAATCAGGAGATTGTTATCCTTCCGAAGCCCCTCCGGGTCCGATCGTCAAAACCGAGGCGAGCTCCTCCCAACAAATTCAAGAATTTCAGTACCCATTAGTTAGAGGTGGGCATCAAACTATGCAGCATCATCAGCAAGGAGGAGTGAATGGAAGCTCAAACGAGGTGGACACCATTAAGGCCAAGATCGCTGCGCATCCTCAGTACTCTAACCTTTTGGAAGCTTACATGGAATGCCAAAAGGTACCCCCGGCCCTAATGAATTATATAAGATGAAAGTTATTATTAAGGAAAATCTTAAAAGAAAATTTCATTGGAAATATGTGGGCTTTGTCCCTCTTATATGTTTATATGTGTAAAACAGATTGGAGCTCCACCTGAAGTAGTCGCTCGACTCACGGCGGTTCGCCGAGACTTTGAGACGCAGCAGCGATCAACAGTCACTTGCAGGGGTGCTTCTACAGACCCTGAACTGGATCAATTCATGGTACTTGTCTCTTTTTCTCTTTCGTCTTCGTTTCTCTTTACATAACCTCAAATGGATTGATTGAATTTGAAGCAGCAGCTGCTGCTTCTTTTTTCTTCTCTCGTTCGCTCGTTCTCGCTCTCGCCTTTTCTATTGAAGTTACTTTGCTTACTTTGGGGATAATTTGCTTAATTTAAATTTGTGATTAATGTGAAACCATAGGAAGCATACTACGACATGCTAGTGAAATATCGAGAGGAGCTAACCAGGCCTTTGCAAGAGGCTATGGAGTTCATGCGGAGGATTGAAGCTCAGCTTAATACGCTAAGTCATGGACCCGTACGGATCTTCTCTGCAGGTACTCTTCGAGTCTTTTATCTTCTTCCCCTTGAGACCTAATATACGTCAAACCAGTATAGATCGAAAAGAAGCCGAATTAGAGGGAGAGATCAGCTCAGGTAGCCACAACGTGGAGAAGAAACGGAAAGAGAGAGCAGCTGGTTCGTGATGGAAAATGGGGTCTTGTCATAGAGTAGGTTTTGCCTATCCCAAGCAAAGCCATCTACAGTTGCACTCGAACCGTACGGATACAAGTCTGAGAGCCGCAGAGCAGTCACTGGGAGTCAGTATTTCTCTCATTACTACCCTCGTGTCCAGCGAAGAAATTGAAATTTGACCCAGTTAACGTGTGATAACAGAAAAAAGAAGCCCAACAGCCAGTTGCAACTGATCAAAGAGCATACGAATTCTGAGTCTGAGTGAGGTGTGTGTGTGAGAGAGAGAGAGAGAGAGAGGACGAGCTAGATCGCCTGTCTCGAGGGGTAGAGTAGAGTAAAAACGATTTCATTCTTTCTTCTGCTTTCAAGTTTCAAAAATCCTTACACAAGAGAAATCATGGACAAACTGCTCTAAGTCTAACAATATCGGGAAAAAAAAAAAAGATGAAAACAGTACACGTTCGCCTCTCGTGGATTGGTTGGTGCGGAGTTTGACACACCTCCCTTATTTGAGTTATATGCACAGACAAACGCATATACATAATGTAACCATTTCTACTCCTATGGTTAGGGGTAGTTTATGCCTTGAGAAAGCTGGCATCTTGATTCATGATTGTCGTCATTTCCGGGCTTATTCTTTCTCTCGATTTTTTTATTTAAATTAAGCTTGTTTTTAGATTATTATAAACGAAGAACATCGGGTGCTGTTCTTATCGGTGCTTGCCTCATGCAGCTGCTGGTACGATTATGTCAGGATTGCTTCCAAAGTAATTCCCTCTGGTTCTCTCTTCTTTATTTTCTAATAATTAATCATGCTACCATATTCCTCATGTCTTCTTGATCCCATAACCAAATAGATTTAGGGAATGTCGGAATTGTTCATTGTCTTTTTATTATTACTAGAAAAGTAGGTTAGATTGATTATGGTGAAAGTAATATATCTGTCTATTGTCTGCAATCGGGAGCCTGTACTTCAAAAAATATTCACTAGAAAGAAAGATGTTTTGAGCTGTATTTAGCTGCCTACCTTGGATTTACTACTTTTGATGCAGTTAGCCATACAGCCCAACAGAAGTAAATAGTTAGTAGATTCTGTCTAGACTAAAGATGAAGGCTTAGTTTTTTTTTTTTTTTCTTTTTCTTTTTTTCTTTAGTTTATGATAATGAGATAGTTCGATTATTCTTATCAAATAAAACGTGTAACTCAGATATTCTAGCTGGGAGACATTGACCTTCATTTCTTGTGATTTTTCTTTTTTAATCATCAAGATGACAATCAGATGTATATGGCTGTAGATGATCATATCGAAATGGATATAACTAGATCCAATTTGATCTTTCAATATTTGGAGTTGAATTGAATCTTATACATCACATTCATATTGGACTTGGAATATTGTATTCAGAAATTGAATACCTTTAATAAATTAAACTGAAAATGATCAGAATGGTAGTAGCTGTTAACATAGGCAGTGTTTGGAACCATGGTGTTGTAAATGCTATATCAATTTGACTTCAGGTTGTAGAAAAAGTGTATTTGGTTAAGCAGATTTAACTTTAAATGGAAACATCACATTTGGAGCTTCCCGAAAATAGCCCGAAAAGGGCTTCCCTCGTCTTTTCAGGGCTGCAGCTTTTGGTGGGTAGATCTTTTTCCAACCAAACATGAAAAGACAAAAACGTGGGCTTTCGGACTTCTAAAAAGTCAACAGCCTACATGAGAAGGCACGCCAAACGGGGCCTAATTTTATGTAGATAAAAGCATATATATGCTCAAGACTCAAAGGTGGTCCAAGAAACACTGTCGGCTGACTTGATGTTCGTGTTTTTATCATTATCGAGTAATTGTTGGTGTCTTAGGTTCATCATTTCTCTTGTTTCATAATTTTGAAGGATCAACACCAATGTTTTGAAATGTGGTAGCATGATGTGAGGCACTAGAGTCTTCTGATATAATGAGGTGTAAGTGGTGAGATGTGAGGCTTAAGCCTCATAAAATCTCATTATTTCAAAATAAACATGAAGTAAAAAAAAAAAAAAAAAAGAACTGCTTGAAATGATTCTACATTTGTAAGAGGTGAATATGGATGAATTAGCCATCAAATAAATAAAGACAAAGTAGTATAGCCTTCTCACAAATTCTTCAAGATTTTTAGGAAGCTCTTGATACAAATTAGAGTTAAAACAAACCTGGAAATATTATAAATGATATTTAACTAACTTTTATGATGGGTGTCATAGAATCTGTCCTATCCAAAGATACTACTTGTGAATCATACACGTTTTGAGAGAGTTAATAGTTTACTGTCCAATGTTGGTCAATTATAGATTTGGGTTTTAAAAGTCTTTTCTGAATTTGGATTTTTCTCAGATCTTAAGTTATTGTTTTATTTGTTACAAATGGTTGTTATTTAAACATCCTTTGGTGATTATTAGTGTGTAAGCAACCATTTGATCAATGATTATTGCAGTGGTAAAATATCAGGCCCACAAGCATGAGTGCATGATTTTAAGTCTGAGAGCAGTCACCTTATGCAAAAATGCTGAAGGTTAATTAAGTCCATATCCAGTCTACCCTTACCAAGCTTAGATAGCTAGGACCAAATAAATTGGGTAATGGCCCTTTGGAGTTACTAAGTGGAGCTATATTCTTTCTATTCATATGGTTTGAAACCATAAATGTAGTTAAAGACATTATTAATGATATGTATGGCAATTATAGGAATTTATGTTTGAAATAGATTTATATATGTAAAATACTGAATTTATGAATTATAACTTTATATAATTACATATGTTATCCATGTATATATGTATGACTATTTTTATATATTATGTATGCCATAAAATTTAGTTGGGCTTGGATCTTAATCAGATCGAATGTGGTCAAATTCAAATGCAGTCCAATTATGTAAACGGATAATTCAAATCTAATACAGGACCAGATGTTGGACTTTCAGACTCTGTTGACAGCCCTACTCACTTCATATTTAGTTTCAGGCTGAGTGTTGCTCCTGTCATTGTTCTTCATCCTTTGTCTGGTGTTTTAACTTCCTTTTCATCCCCCCACCTCCATTTGGCCTTGAGAAAGCTTAAGATTTTCTGTTAGGTATTATTGTCTTTAAATTCATGCTTCCATCTTCATTGAAGGTGAGACCACCTAAAGGGGAAAATACACAAGAATAAAAGAATAACTTACAGCATAACATTTTGCAACTTGAGCAATTCGAGAGCACCTAAAATGCAGAAGAATGAGGTTTTGAGGTTATGGTTCATAATGGTAAGAGCACCTAAAATCATTATCAAAGAGAATTTTTTATTGGCCAACCATGTCCAGATGATTTTTCCCCCAATTAACAGCCTTTTGCAGAGGTTAGATGTTGAATAAATATATTTGAGAGTTCACAGTCAGATTCAAGAAATGGATACCACACCCACCAGAGGCTGTTGTGAACTTTTATTGAGTTAAATAATAACTATTTCTTCATTGCCGAAAAAGGAATGGATAATTTGTGGGGCCAAGGAATGGGGTGCATTTGACTGTAATTCTTGATCAAATGAAGATAAGTACCTAGTAAAGATATGCAATGCATATCTATCAGTTGATGTAGGTGGATCTCAGCCAGAAAAAATATCACGAAATAGGAAACCAAGAAGAGGACATTATTGATGATAATCATAGGGATTACCATGAAAAAAAATATAGAAATGAAGACTTACCAACCATAAAGGTTACCCCTTATCCTATTGAAACGAGTAACTCATTCCAAAGTACTTAACAATTTTTATTGTTATTGTTATCATCATCATCACCATAAATACATATATTTGTATGTAATGCATATGTATGCATATATACACGTATTTGTATTGCAATGGTTTTAGTGTAATCTCTCTCTCTCTCATACTTGCATATTATTTTTATGTGGTTTGATTTGAGTACATCCCATTTTTTACCCCTGCTTATAATGATAAGAATCAATATATTTGTTTTTTGTCTTCTAAAACATGTACATTTGACTAATTATTAAGGCTATGCACCGTTAATGAAAAAATGGAGTATGCCCCTGCCACTCTCCTCTTTCTATTTTTGTTCTTTGTATTTTTAACGTGTCATTTGATGTCATGGGTCAAATGGAATAAGAGGTGTGGATCCATTTTTTTTAGCTAATTTAATTTAGATGTGTGAACCAAAGGTGGATATTTCATTTCAGGCAAAATACATGAATTGTTATTTGAAGGATACCCTAATTCATGTGAATTGGAAAGTTGGAATTCACACTTGAAATTCCAATTCCTACTGCCTCTCCTTGCAATGTCATAGATAGTTATTGAATTTCTTGGTGGTCAAGTTACTTTATCAAGTAGGGGCTGGCTTTCTAATTGTATGTTAGCCTTACAAATTACATAAGGCATGTATGATGATGATGATGATCTGCTTTTCTCTTAATATCTATAGCAGCTATTATTGTTTATATTCTTGGTTGATGGATGGTTCTGAACAGTTTGGTTTATCAAAATAGAAATGTAGAAATAGTTTCCTGTATTCTTTTTATGCCATTGACTGGTGTGAAATTAGCCTATCTTTAAAAGGAGGTGACTTTTGTTGTCCATTTTCTGTACTAATTATTATTTGTTTTCTCTAGTATGCATTCATTTGTTCTGTTTTGAACATCTTCATATTTGAATTTATCTAGTTCTGGAAACCATGGCTGGGTGTTCATTATTCTAAATTCTTTCTTTCTGTAATCAGATATGTTAGTATCCATTTCTATAGTAGCCTTAAGGGCACGTCCACAATCACCCCAAAAAAAGTTACTGTACTTGTGCAAATCCAAGTGCACAAAGCACTCTTTTACCCAAAGTTGTGGTTGTTCTATCATGGAACAAGAAAAACCTGTGTCAAGTTTTCCTTTCATTGATATTTCTTGGAGTCCACTAATTAATCATAGTTTTAAAAACAAGCCTTCTTAGCTTCCTACTTCGTGGAAGCCCCCCAAATTTGAAAGCATTGTCAGCATTAGCTGAAAGGGTATTGAAATCTCCCTTGTCACTGTTGATTCTTCCTTTAGCTCGTGCCTCTTCTGCTTCCGCTTCGAACCTTTGAAACGCCTCCCTAGCAAACTTTTCTCTGCTCCAAAAGACCAGACCAACTGAGTTCGCCACTTGGATGTCTCTCTCTACACAAGAGTCCACTGACCCAAGGCCCTCCACTTCTGGACTCCTAGACGGCTCCGCGCCAAGTCCTACAAGATTAGACTCTACCTGAACACCCGTGGTCGGAGTACCTTCCTCTAAACTAGGCTCAGAACTGGGGGGAGTGGAATGGCCGGGGGTGTTCCCCGGTCGTCTTTGGCAGCTTAGACTGCTGCTCGACTTTTGCTCCAAAACCTCCACCTCAGACCTGCTAACACAGTCGGCCTCAGCTCAGGAACTCTCTGAATCAAACCCTCTCAGTGTCTGAACCACATAATTCAAACGCCTCTCAACTGTTCTCTTACACATCAGCTTCAAACCTGCTTTCTTACAAGCCAATTTCCACACATGATCCGGTAACAGAAATGTATTTACAGTTGTAAGTGCAGAAAATGTTAGTGGGCATAACAATGACTCTATTAGCTTCATCAGATCTTTTGTTTTTGCCCCAACTTGATTCCAGGGGGAGATGGAGAGGGGGCACCTAAAAATTGCAGGAATGTTCCATTGCACTATAATTGACTACTAATCCTGGAAATTAAAATACTGTATTCAGACACTGAAGTCGCTTCTGATGGGGTAACAAATTAGATAATGTTGAAACAGTTTATAAAGGTGATGAATTTATTGGTTCTGAAGAGGTAACATATCTTGGTTGCAATGGATCTTTGGTTCTTTTTACTACCATGAAACAATGAGTTGCTCTAGATACATATTTTGACCACACTGTTTCAAATGCCAAAAATTTAGACCAAATTATAAGTTCTATATTTACAAGCATTATATGCAAGTTCATGGGCAGTCAAGTTAGAGATTCTACTTGCATACTTTATACATATATTATCAAAATAGTTTAATAGATTCTAAACAGTTTCTATGAGATGCTTCACTTGCCAATCCTCCCTCCTCCACATTGTTGATACTATTCACAACACCTAAAGCATCAGAAAGGAGAGTCACAATAGAGTTATTCCATGAGCGAGCTTTAGTGAGACCGTGGATCACCACCCACCATTCAGCTTGGGAGCTGGAAGAGGCCCTGATGCTTCTGCTTTCTGTCCACAAAACTGTTTGATCACATGTTAATATTATAAAACCTATACCCGTGGTACCCATTGCTGGATCATATGAGCCATCTAAATAAACGTATATGTTTGGTGTTTGTAGAGGCCTCATTGTTCTTTCTTCTCTTTGATGGGGACTGTTCATAGGGTAGGTAAAGGTGTTTGCTCTTTCAAGTAGGCGTACAGGGTCTCAAACAAGTTGATTGTGGATTTTTGCGTTTATCATGTCCCAGATGAGTCTGAGCAAGTTGTCTATGTAGAAGTGTTGGATATCTGGATCCACACTTTTGATTTTAGTTTTGCTCCCAGTTTGTGACGAATTGGCTCAACTGCATGTTTTGAATTTGGGGGCCTTTTTGTTTCTTGGTTATCTGACTGTTTGACTGTCTATACCATCATATTCATCATGCCAGAGTGGTTGGTTTTGCCCCTTCATGCTTCTATGGTACATGATTTCCTCATAAATTTTATGCAATTTATTCAACAAACCTGTTACCAATTCTTTTTTATTTTAAGTTTGTGATTAGTTGGACATTATTTTTTTTAAAGTTATCAACACAATTTAAAGATGATTATCCACTAGGTAATTTCCATCTTATTATTTATGTTATTAAACTTTGACCCATACAGACAAGTATGAGGAAGTTGGTTCATCTGAAGAGGAACAAGAAAATAGTGGTGGAGAAATGGAACTCCCTGATATTGATCCACGTGCTGAGGACAGGGAACTTAAGAATCACCTGCTGAAGAAGTATAGTGGCTACCTAAGTAGTCTCAAGCAAGAGCTTTCCAAGAAAAAGAAGAAAGGGAAACTGCCAAAAGAAGCTAGACAGAAATTACTCAATTGGTGGGAGCTGCACTACAAATGGCCGTACCCATCGGTATGCAACTGAGTTGTTCTTTCTTTCCAATTATTAATATCCTTTGACAATTGCTTGCTCTTAGAATGGTTATGTCACTATCTGATTAAATTTTCTGGAAAGCAAATTACATTTTAAATTGTCCAAATAATTTGGGAGATAGTTCTTGTAATAGGGTCTTTAGGGGAAGAAATCTAATTGGCCCAGAATCCATCCAAATGGTAGCTTATTTTGGGGTTTAAACAGAACATTCCAAGACATGGTGGGGCATAGGACTGAGCCATAGTGCTGGAATGAAAGCATGGATGACCTAGAGATTTCTTTAATTAATAGACCATCTCAAATTTGGGTTGATAAAAAATAGTCATTAGTTGTAAAGAAGATAAATGGAGAAGAAGAAGAAGAAGAGAATATTAAACAATTTATCAGAGTAAACAGCTGAATAACTACAATAATGATATAGCATCAGAGGAAATTGCCTATGTCCAGGGAAGATCACTAAGCTCCATGCTAAATTCACTATTCTCAAATCATTGCATTAGGTTTTTTGAGGTTTCCTAGTTCATAAACATCTGAGAATAACCACAGTAATAATATAGCAAAAATACTCCTGTGCAAACAATATATGGACAAGCCCCTGGCTCTGCATAGCTTCTCCTTGTTTTTCTTGTTACTCACCCTTCCACTGGGATTGAAATTGCCTGAATTAGTTCTAAACATTTTTATGCTGGAAGTGACTCATGTGTTCTGTCGAGTTTATGCATGGAGAGGTATTTGAAATAATATTGATATTTTATAGATATACACTTGTTGTTCCATACAAAATAGATCGGGACTGTATATACTACAAATTGGGCTTAAAGTGGTTAACAGAGAGTTGATTGCATTTGGAAGTGGCAGCTGATAAGTTTCTTTACCTTCACTGTAAAAGCAAGTTACAGTAATATGTTAACCCACTTAAGTGATTTTTTTTTATGTAGCTTTAACCCATCAATTGGGAAAATCTGAATTATAAAAGCGGGAGGGAGTTGAGAGAGACATTGGGAAATGGAGAAACCTGACCATGGTGGGAACCGTGGGATTTGACCACTTCAATTATGAAGTCTGGAGAAACAAAACATAGAAACTAGTAATCCACATACAAGCATTCATGTATGATATCTATAAATTGGTGTGAGCAGAGACATTTTCCACAAACAAAAAGTTGTCTCATTTTGCCCCTCTGAAGCAAATTTACTGCTATTATGGAAGGGTTCTTTAGAGGGACTTGAACTTTTCTTGCTTGTTGTTCCCGATGACTAAAGGTTCTGCTGTATCCTAGGAATGGATTTGCATACAATCTAAAAGCAAATTCAGTTCATTGAGTGGTGGGTGCAAATATTTGTTCAATGACAATGTCTTAGATGCCCGTCAGAGCTTTGAGCTAAAAATGAACTGGTTACCTCAAAGCATTTTTTTGTACCATCTTGTCCATTTTGGTAATTATAAAATCTATATATATATATATTTATATTTTGCAACTTTGAATATAGACTTAGATTTACATTTTAAATTTTATAATAGTTAATTTTATTAACTTATTGCAGGCAAGCCTTTGGGCAGATGAAAATGCTCTCACTACCCTATAAAAATTCAGCCAAGGCCTTCTCTGGCCCAAGATCCCTATCTCTTGGTAGATATTAAAAGATTGCAACAGGTCATAGGTTTCTAAAACTTATTAGTCCACCATGAGATATAAAGTTCTTTATCAATCTGAGTTTTGAAGGGTCTGATATTACAATAGGCGAGTAGGCTTCTTCAAATAACTTTCCCCCCCTTTTTTTTTCTTTTTTCCTTGGAGATGATGGTCGTTGTGGTGTTTAATCCTTCCCAAAATTTTTGGGAAGCTGTTTTGTAAAATGGCCTTTACCCAATGCCAGATCCATTCCCAGCAATCCGGTTTACTGGGAAGCTATTTTGCACAGAAAGGCTGACCTCATATCTGCATTTTCACACTCGCCGGCCTGAGATGTTACCATGGCACAAAGCAATAGCCCTAAGAGGAGGCTGTTTTGCAACATGGAACCTAAGGAGGTTAAAAGACAGAGTGGTGCCAACTGCCAAGCACAAGGGTTGGTCAAATCTGTATTTGCATATGGATATGGTACTTTGCAGTTTGCACTGTTTATATTGTTCAAACACTGCATGTCATGCGGATGGCCCAGTTGTCAAGATGGTCACTTTGGCACCCCTCCAATCCAAATAGGTAGCGCAGGACAAATCCACAGAACAACCACAGACTCTCCGTGGTATATCTGGTGGGCCCCTGTATTCAAAGACCAGGCTTAACCTATGCTGTTGTTTAACATTCCCTTCGAGAGATTATTCTTTTCCCCTTTTGCCTATGATCTGATCCTATAGTCTGGATTGGCTGGCCACAAGATTGTTTTAGATTGTGGAAATAAGTATGAGTAGTCAGTCTAGCAAGATTACCCTGCCTATGATCTGATCCTATAGACCCCGTTCGCTTTTCGGTTAGTTACTTACCCAGGTAAATGCACTTACCTTTGGAACCCTTTCTTGAGAAACATTTACAAGGGTTAGTGCATTTACCCATGTTCTTTTATTTTTCAGGTAAATAACATAATGACTATTTTAGCCATAAAAATTTCATTATCAAAAGGAACATTTTTGTCTCATCCAAGTGTTGGTGATTTTGTCAAGATGGAAAAGTTTCCTAATCCCCACATAAATCTGAAAAAAGGCGAGTCTTTTTGGTGAATCACATTGACCAACTTCCCCCTTCTCAAAATCCCATAAACAAACATCCCCAAAGAAAAGTTTTTTCGTATTAGTTTGTTGTATTTTCTTAATTGAGGACTTGACTTGGCATTTGTACAGGAGACAGAGAAGGTGGCTTTGGCAGAGTCAACTGGTTTAGACCAGAAACAAATTAACAACTGGTTCATAAACCAGCGGAAACGACACTGGAAACCTTCTGAAGATATGCAATTTGTAGTTATGGATGGGCTACATCCTCAGAATGCCGCTCTTTACATGGAAGGTCACTTTATGAGTGATGGCTCTTATCGTCTTGGCCCGTGATCAAGGATCACAAAGTGAAGGAGTTACTCAACTCCTGTGCGATTCACACGAGAGTACGGTGTGGGTGGTTATTACCGTCTGGCCATGATTTGATTATATTGCAGCATTTTGGTCATGGTCAGGTTCATGCTCTTGCATGCCAAGTATTTGTTTATTGTTGCCACAATTGTTATCATTGCCTTGTTAATATTATGTATATGGTATGAGTTGACGTGAGATGGGTAGGATGGGTTTTCAATGGTTCCATTAATTACGTTGAATTCAAGCTTTCTGCCTGTTCAGTAACCTTTTGTCATCGATCGATATCTGAAGCTCCACCGTTCTTGCGGGATGCTTTTAGTCTGTATTATGTTTAATATTTATAAGCTCTTCTTATTAAGACATCCAGAAAGGTCGACCCATGTAGATATCATTAGCTTTCTGTTGATGAAGGCGTAATTTTCAGTCTTGTGTTCTCATTTCTCAAGGTTAATGCATCGGCGACGCCCATTGTTTTCAATTTGATCGTTGTTCCACTGCAATTGGTGACAATTGATCGGTCGTTGCTTCGAAATTTATTAGTGCCTTGTGCATACTCAAGACCAGCGGAAAGGTGAAGCTTTTTCTTAACGGATGGCTAATTGGCTATTGCATCTCCACCACCGGTGACTGATGCAAAGGTATGGTAGTGCAAATGATTTGCATTTTAGGCTGGTTTTGTTTGATTGCTGTACAAATTAAGTAAAATAAAAACAAAATAATAATAATAATAATAATAATAATAATAATAATAATAATAATAATAATAATAGTAATAGTAATAGTAATAAAAAAAGTAAAATAAAGCCTGAAGCAAAATAAAGGAAAACCCAAAACAAAATTAAACCAGAATTTGGGTGCATAACTTGTAAAACTCAGCTTTATGAAGAATTCTTAGAACATTTTGTTTAGGCTCAGTTTGGAAGAAGTATAAATATAAATATGTAGAATGCAAAACTTTGTATTTTATATTATTTTGTATGTATTTATACTATAAATACATACTTATGTTTAAGGGTGTTCTGGCTCCTTATTCTAAGGCTTATGGATTCTAGGTTGGGGTCAAGTTCTAACTCTTATCATATTTTATATTACAAAAAAAAAAAAAAGAGAAACATTATTCGATACATCTGTTGAACCGGTTGGTCAAACTATTGATCGACCTACGACCCATTCCATGGGTTTTGTGCTCTTTCATCATTTTACTTTTTTTTTTATTTGAAAATTTCTACAAATGATGATATCACGGGCTAGCCCATCACCCAGATGGTTGCATTGACAAGAGGAAAAAGCAATTGAACCGTTGGACCAGGCTTTTGAATACTGTCTGTGGATAACTGGATACACGGGTACAAGTGTACAATTCCTCCACCCTTTCTTTAAAAAGAAAACTAAAATTAAAAATATAAAAATACAAGAAAAGGGGTCAAAGTAGCAAAAACTTATGTGGATTCTATTGGATTGAAGGTTATATAGAAGCTTGCAATTTTAGATTTGAGGTTATGTTTAGTTTGAAAGAAAGGGAAAATCTATGATGCGAAAAAGAAAAGGTTAGGGAAAGGTGGGAAAACGTGTATAAGGTAAGGCCATGTTTGGTTTGGTGATGTGTATAAAATTGAGCTTCATTCTTTCAATTCTTATTCATTTTCAGCATAAGCCTCATTCATTTTGAAATGAAAAATGAGTTCATTGCTTAAAAATAGAGCTAACTTGCAACATGAAAAAATAAGGGTGCCTCATATTCCTCATTTTCATTGAAAAAAAAAAAACTCATCCAATTCATAGCAACATTTTCTCATTTTACCCCAATTTTGTCCATTTTAGAATTTTATTATTGGAAAGAATGAACAAAAATGAGAGTTGAATGAAAATAACCCAACATTGCTGCACTTATCTGTAATTGAACACTACCTGTCACAGATTCAATGCAAGCACAGGAAAAGTGGAGAAACAAAAAAAAAAAGAGCGGATCCCAAGTTATCCTCTCAGTTGAGATTTTTAATTAAACATGGCACTGATCATGTTAACTTGAGAAGTATAATTAAGGGAGCATTCCCTCCACTTTTAAAAGGAGACAAAGTGAACTCCCAAAAAAGATGCGAGGCTGCTTTTGGACTGTAACGCTGTTTTGTTATTCATCCTTGAAAGGAGTAAACGTCCAGAAATATTCTATACTTCTATTCTGATTAGGAAGTAGTTGTTGTATCAGTCCCTCAACTTCCACGTGATTTCTTGGTATTCATCTTTATCAACAATCTCTATCGGAGCTTGATGGCAGATTTTGAGCGTTTTCCGTGTTGCTTCCCACCCCAAAAGCTACAGAAGAACAGTAGTTTTAGTGAGTTTAACTTTTGCTTTTTTTTTTAATACTCTGCATTTAGTAACTTTTTACTGTTGATCGAGGAGCTATCAGCCTACATCCCCATTTTATAGACAGGGCATGTCCTAAACACAAAAAAGAAGGAAAGCAGACCTAATTAAAGGATGTTGAGACACTCATTTAAAGCACTCTAAGGATCCAATGCACAAGGAATAAACAAAAGAAGCAGCAGCTAGGAGGAATGTCTTTGAATTAGAAGAAGGCCAGAAAGACTAGAGTCCTGGCAAGGAGACTTGGAGTTGCCAAGCTCTTTTGATGTCAAGACTGAGCATCAGAATATGGATAGCTTTTGAATTCACTGTGCATGTTTGATCATGATCAACAGTCGAGATTCATTCATCTATTACCACCACTTTCTTTTTAATTTGGTTCCAGGTCCACTTCTTGGCCAACCCCTTGGATTTTTGGATATCCGACCAATAGTAGTCTTGTCCATGGCATAGTTTTAACAGGTAGGGGTGTTCACATTTAAGTTAACCGAACCATTGGCCTATTTTTGAAACTAAAACTAAAATCAAATCAAAGTCGATCCGTAAATCGATTGACCAGTTTCGTTAACTGCCGGTTTAGTTTATCGGTTTTTTGTTTTTTTTTTTTATATTTATAGTATATATTATAAAATATATATAAATATATAATAAAAACTAGAAATATATAAAATATTATATTTTAAATAATAAATAATATATTATATATTATAATATAAAATGCATACTTATTAATTTATAATATGTGGAAAATATAAAAATATATAATATAATTATACATAAAATATATAGAAATATATGTATACTAGTCAGTTCGATTAACTGCTGATTTTCTATATTGGTTAACCAAACCAGAATTTTCAGTTCAGCTTTTCGGTTTTTCTTGCTCACCCCTATCAAATGGTGTTGAGGGAGGCAGAACCAAAACGTCTAGTCTTAGGTGCCTTGCCCCTATACTAAGAAGCTACCACCTCTTTTCTTGAGAAGCTTGTGCCTCACCATCTTGTGCTTCAAATTGGTGAGGTGTAAGCCTTGTATAAAAAGCATTAAAACCAAAAAAAAAATTATAAATTAGTCGATAATATTTTTAAAATTAAAAAAAAATGATTATTTAGTTGTTTATAAATGAAATAAACGAAACTATACTAAAAAAATTCACATAATACTTCTTTTAAACTAAAAATATGTTATTTGTTTTTCTCTTACTAAATGTACATTTAGAATAGGGTTTCTTTTTTTTTTTCAAATCTAATTACTATCAATAAAAATGCCCTTCTACAAACAAATTTTATTTCTCTTGGACCCCGATCAAGTCTACCCCCGATACCTTATTGAGAAAATATCTAAAAACTATATAAATAAAGTAAAGCTATTTTTATTTAATAAAAAATATTATAAATGTAAAATAAATTTTAAAAAAGTATCACATTAAAGTGAACATAATTTAATAAAAAATAACTTGGAAAGAAAAAATATATAAAGAAATTATATATATATATATATATATATGATTAATTTAAGTAAACTAAATAAATGGACAATTTTATTTAGGTAAACTATTACCATAAAACATCTGATTAATTTCAAGACCAAAAATGAATATAAATATAAAAATTGGTATAAAATAAATAAATCATACTCTTAATGCATAAAATATTTCAAATAATATATATATATATATATATGTATATGTATATACACTTATGTACATACACTATATTCATATACATAAAAATTAAAAAATTATATTTATATTTTGAAGCTTACGGCTCAAACCACCTCTCTTCCATCTTTAATCTTTTAAAAAATTATACACTATATTAAAGACATGACACAGGAATAGGGATGCAACTTTTTTGGGTTAGGGTTAGAATTTTGTCAGAATTTTAATGGGCCCAACCCGAAACAATATAAACTGATAACTCGGACCAAGCCAGACTTGCACCCTACACAGGAAGTGACTTGGGTTACTACTCATATGATACCTGTTGATTGGTTATAAGTCTTTACGATATCATGTCTTTACTATCGAATCCTTTGAAAAACTAGTAAGAGGGATTTTATTTCTTTTATGTGGTGCACATAGACATAGTGGACAATCTAATTCCTCCCCATCTAAAGGTAATAATGGGCCGGGGAGGACGCAGGAATTAGGAACTACATATAATAAGTACCATAGCCCACGTTTAAGCCCAAGCCCGGATCCAATTACCAATTAATTCTACGGTTCTACCCTGACATGAGAAGATGGGGAAGAGGGGAAAGGTTGGGAGATTTCTGAATTCTGACCCTTGAAAATTGGTCCCGGGTCCGAATGGGGGCTTTTAGGAGAACGTATCTTTCGCTATCATGTCTTTCTGATCATTAGTTGAATGGTCCAACCCTTCCATTGCACAGTTACACGGGGATCAAGGAGTGGGGATTGATCAGATTGCACGTGAGGTCCAGTGAATTTACCACAAACAGTAACCACCTCAGCTACTAAATCAACTATACATTTAGGGGTGTTTCATGTTTGCCTGTTTGACAACATCAGCGTGCATTAAGAACATCTTGGGAAGTTGTCTGGGAGATGTTCCCAATGCACGGTTGGAATATGTTGTAGGGCACTCCCTGTAGACGGTAGATGTGAATTCTGATTTTGTTCTAGAAAATAAAACAGCTGCTACATCAGAAAAAAATACTAAAATAAATAAATAAATTGTCGAAAAACCTTGGAGTCTACTTGCCACTATGTCATAAAATTCAACGGAGGTGATTTCAATAATCAAACTTCAAAAGAGGTTTCAGTATTGGTTAAAAGGTTCAGGGGAAATTTCAGCAATTTACCGAAAGAAAATATCTGCCACATCACTAATCAATCATATTATCAAAACCGTTGATTTTATTTTCAAAAGCAAAGCCCAACATGTTATCAAATACCCCTTATTATTTGCTGACATGACAAAGTAATATAGCATCTCAGGATAGTGTTAGACCAATTAAGTAGCAAGACTCAATATAATCAAATATTGAAGAAATAGTTAATAGACTACTAAAAATGCCTTAAACATGGTTTG